CTGGTTGGTTGTAACATCTACCCTCTTGATGGCGCATAAAAAAGCGTGACATTTCAGTTTTAATTTCCAATCTAATATTGATATATTTCTTTAGAATTTCTAGGTGAGAAACAGAACCCAGACGAGAAGTAATTGTAACGCCATTTCTAGAATCTGGAATAATTCTAACTACAAGAATGTCATCGAAATTTTTGGAATTGACGTTGTCCAGTAGCGCTCTAAAAATTCGCAGGCAGCATTTGCTGCACTTTCTATTGGAAAAGCACACATTTAGAAATAATAATAATTCGTAGCAGTTGAGTATAATTTACCAGTCTCGAACCCTATTGCCAGCCCTCGCTCCGCTCGGGCGCAAAATCGTTCTCGACTGGTAAATAATACTTACCTCCTTTATGGTGTAAATAACTATTATTCTCGATTAGGAGAATAAATTCCATTACTTACCTCATTTAAAATTTATGGCAAATTAAATTTGGTTTAAGACTTCAAGTGCTGCGAATTACGTCAACGACTTCTATGCCGGACAACGAAGATGCCCAAATGCCCTTCGTCATCCAGGGCATGCGTAAAGGTCGTCAACCTCCTGTGGGTACAAACTATAAATTCTATAATGACGTTGCTACCGGCATTTATAATTTTTGTACGCCACACTACAGAAGAAAATCCGATCGTCATTACATGCCTTGTTCTAGAATGTGACGTGACGTTGCTCGAAAGACGCACGTTAAGAAATGTGCAAGTTGTGATTGCTCTTTTTTCCGCGAGGGAAAAAATTAGTCTATATAGTAGGAGCTTTTTTGTGCCGCGATCCGTTCCGATGAACCGTTAGTACTTGTACTTTCTTGTCGGAATATTCTCATTGTGGTGATAATTGTTAGCGGTTTTTGTTAGGCCTAAGGCTTGCCATCGACAGCATACCCAGAATACAAATAATTGCTATAATTATATGATATTGTCCTCGGGGCTAACCAAAAACGAGAAAAAATTAATTTCGGAGAGTTCATTTAGACTTTATCTAAAAGAAAACGTTTAGCAGAACGTTAACTAGTAAAAATTATATTTAGTAATACATGAACTAGCAAAAAATATGTCTAGCAAATCACAAGCTATTAAAGAAAACATTAGCACGACGTCAGTTAGCAAAAAACGTCTAGCACCTAATAAAATGTTACTTAGCGAATTATACGTCCGGAAGAACAGTAAGTAGCAAAATACGTAGATATCAAAACGTTAGATGCCAAAAAAACGTCGTTAGTTATAAAAAAAAACGCTTCTAGTAGAACGTTATATTCGAAAATACACTAGCAAAACGTTAACTAGCAAAAATGTGTCGAGCAAAACATGAATTAATAAGAAAACTGCCTAGCAAATTATAATCTATCAAAAGAAACGTTTAGCAAATGTTAGTTACGGAGGGAAAGGCAGCTAAGTTAGCAAAAAACGCGTCTACTAAAATTGTGACTAGAAAACGCACGTCTACAAAAACTTTAGATAGTAAAATACACGGTTAGAAAAACGTTTGATATCAAGAACACGTTCAACAGAACGTTAACTAGCAAAAACACGTTTAGAAGAAACAACGCGTTTAAGAAAACGTTAATTAACAAAAAATATATCTAGTACAACATTAATTAGCAAAAAATTAGTTTGTTAACAAACAACATTGCTAACGAAAAACGTATAGTAAAACGTAATGATATTAGCAAACGCGTCCAACAAAACGTTAGTGGGCAAACAAATCACGTCTAGCAAAATTTAGGAGCAAAAACAGTACGTCCAGCAAAACGTTAGCCAGCAAAAAATGTTTAGCCTAATATCAGTTAGCAATAAATCGTCTAGCAAAACAGTGGACAGTAAAATACACGGAAAACTAAATGCTAGATGACAAGAATATGTCCAACAAAACGTTAGCAAAAATAACACATCTAGCAAAACTTGAAATAACAATAAAACGATCAAAAACGTTAGCTAGCAAAGAAACAACTATAACAGAGCGGAAAAAACATCAAAAACGTAGTAAAGTGTAAATATACGTCTCGCAAATGATAATTATTATAAAAACACAAAACGTTACATACTGAAAAACGTGTGTAACGTATTTTTTGTTTGCTAACGATTTGCTGACGTTCCTGTTAAATGTTTTTTTTTGCAAGTTGACGTTTTGTAAAAGGTTTTTTGTTGTTGATATGAGCAATGAAACTACTATACTTTTATCAATTGAACCGAGTTATTCTACTCTTAAAGCATAAAACGAAATTTTTAAATTAATTTATTTACGTCAAATATTTTATTTCAAGAGCTGTAGTTGATTTTCGGCACGCCCCTGGCCAGTCCCGCAGTTATAATAAAGCTGCACTGCGATGCGCAACACTCAAATAGAGATAAAAATAATAAATTATGATAAAAATACGTCTAACCTTTTGTATCGTTAATTCCATTTGACCTCCAACAAAGTTATTGTGCATCATTATTATTAATATCGCCATTATTTTTATACCCATGCTCTATGGTACTTCACCTCGCTGTAGCCTAGGCAGCCTAGACATTGCATATATACAGGGCGTTCGCAGTGATCCACCCCCTCAATACAAAATTTAGCAGATAGTAGCGAAATATAAAGAATCATTTTATGGAATACACAAAAAAAATGATTATTACTATCATTTTTTCTGAGTCAATTCAACGAGCGCGTATACAAACAAAGCATGTAATATAATAAGTAAACAAACGGGAACAATATCTTTTCACAGATAAATTTAACAGACGATTTGTGAGAAAAACAACTGTTCGTTGATAACTTTTAGTGGCAATACAGTGTTATTGATGTTATGTATTTGCTAACAAAAATTTTAATCTCGCTCGTATTAGGACGCAATACGTAAGCAAAACACTGGAGCTTTGTTTACATTTTTCCAAAAACACTTGAATAGAGCTTGTTATAATTCTGAAGAGGCATACGAGAATCATGACAAACGTTCACAGGCCTGTAAACACGTGGTTTTAAAATTTAAATTATAGGCCTGTCAAATTGTCGAAATACCTCGTTTTTTTTAGCCAAAATTTAGTTCAGTAAACAAAGACACGTAAAATTTTCCGTAGAATTGAATCAACTGAGTGTTAGGGCTTCATTTTCAAAATAGCGTCCAAATTTCGGAAAAAAGTTTTTTCCTTAAAATAAAAACTAAACGTGTTAGAAAAAAATGTTTTAGACAAATATTATAGAACTTTTTACAAAAAAAAATTGAGCTTAGCCTGATGTCAATTGATAAACAACTGTGTTACTTATTGCTAAGCAACGGTTAAAAATCGCATTTTTTTAAAACTTTTATATATTTGAAACGGAAAAAGATTTTTTGGCAAGTAGAATAAGTGGATATTTGTAAAATTGCAAAATATTTGATGATTTTTACAAAAATTGTGTTTTTTCGAAAAGAGAATTTTTTTTTTTTTTTAATTTCAATAAATCGTACAGTATAGTAGTGACCCATCTTGGACTTAAAATTTTCTCTAAGAATTATACTTTCCTGTGCAAATTGTGCGCGTATTGCAAAATAATTGGAAATATACGAAAAATAATTGGAAATATGCGCATTATTGTATAATTTATTGAAACCCGAAAAAAATTATTTTTATTGAAAAACTTATTTATAGCAAATTGCACATTTTACATTTGTACTTATTGTACATGCCAAGGACTACATACTCTGAAAATTTCGTAAAATAATCTCTTTTCGTTTTAAAGATATAGAAGTTTTAAAAAAAACTGATTTTTTAGCCGTTTATTTTGCAATAACTAATACATTTGTTTATCAATTAGCATCGTTTTGTTCTCAAAATTTTTATTATAAAAAGTTCTACAACTTTTGTCTAAAACATTTTTTTCTAAAATGTTTAGTTTATTTTTAAATGAAAAACAAACCGTTTTTGCGAAATTTGGACGACATTTTGAAAATGAAGCCTTGGAGTAAAGTAGTTCATTCAATTCTACGGAATTTTTCCTAGTTTCTGTTAAAATGTTCGGTTCAGATCACTTTAGATGTTAATGAACAAACCTATGAAATGTTAAGTTGGCTATACTGTTTACTGAAATTAATGTTGACGCTTAAAAATCTAATTTGATTGGAGTAGTAGTACTAGTATTTTTACCGCGTATTAAGTACCTAAACGAGATAATAGATGTGCGTAAAAGTTATGTTCAACAACGGCGTAGGCATTCTGCTGCCGCTGCGACTGCCCTTAGTTAAATATTTATGGAAGCGATTTCACTAAATATGTATAAGGCAGTATAATTTTACATAATTCGACCGAAAGGATTACCGAATTAACACGGCTTATTTACATCTACTGCTGACCTCATATCAAAAGGTCACGATGCGACACTGTGTGTATGATTTGACTTAGAAACCACGCGTTTTATTTATATTATGAATGTCTTGGTAAAGCGTGCGTCACATGTTTCTTAACACGCCGCTAAAATGCAGTGCTCTGGTTTTAGTCAAAACTCGTTCGCATCAAAATTTTTGCAGTCAAAAAGACCATTCGCAACATTATACGGATCATTTAAAACGAGTTGGTCAAAGACGCAAAACAATTTGAGAAATGAGCAGTGCAGAAAAGGTGAAATTCGGAACGCGCTCTTCCTCTATTGCAAGGTAGATGGCGCCACCAATGCGAAACTAATTGTTTTTGATATTTGATTTTCTGCACCTTTTCTAAATTTAACTTACCGCTATACACCCTCTGTTGTTGTTTTAGTAAAAAAAGTTTATCGGCGTGTTTCTATTTTGTTTAATTAGTTCGTATTGAACAGAAATCATAAAACATAGCGGCGCCATCTACTGTTTATGAGTCGAAATATTGAATGTTGTATCGCCATCTAGTTGATAATAGCTAAAGTTGTAAATTTGACCCTTCGCCGGTAGGCATCCACTACCGTTTTGACATTAACTTTCTATTATTTCATTGAATGTCAATTTATTCATTTTTGACATATGTGTGAAAGTACAAATAAATAACTACGTACAAATTTCTATATTTTAGGTATTTACAAATAATTCAAGAACATGACGGGCACCGCGAGCGAGGTGAAATTCAACGAATTTTACACCGAGGTAAGAGTCTTGCTTCTAGCTATTTCAGAAGTGCTACAGATCATATCCTGCTTGTAGGTGAAAGAAATAGAGAAACGCGACTCTGTCCTAACTCCCAAGCAACAGATCGAGCGGTTGTTGAGGCCCGGATCGACCTACAGAAACTTGAATCCTTTCGATGTATTACAGGTAGAACCCGATACATCGCTCGAAGAGATGAAGAAGAAATACAGGAGGCTGTCTATTTTGGTACATCCGGATAAGAACCAGGACGATCCCGACAGGGCCCAGCAGGCTTTCGAGGCGGTGAATAAGGCCTGGAAGACGTTGGAGAACGAGGAGACGAGGAAGAAGTGTCTCGATACCATCGAGGAAGCCGTCGGGCGCACGGATCTGATGGTAAGTCGTCGTAAATGTGTCGTCCGGTTATTGTCGTATATAGATTGTTTTGTACAAACTTGATTGTATAATGGGGTGGTAGCTTGCAGAGAAAAGAAAGAAAGCTAAAAAAGAAGGGAGAGATGGCATTCCGGAGGACGATCCCGCCAAATATAAACATGCCATTTATGTCCTCACAATGAAACTGTTTGCAGATATGGAACGGAAACGTAGGGAGTTGGCCGGACGGGACCAAGAGGAGAGGAAGAGGAAGCGCGAGGCCGAGATAGAGGAGGAGGAGAACGCCAAGGAGCAGAAGGAGTGGCAGAAGAACTTTGAGGTAAGTGGGCGGTGGATATTATCGTGGGATGGGCATTTTTGGGGCTTTCGGGGAGCAATAATTCAATTCTTTTCTTCTAATTGACACCAAAAATGTCAAAGACTAAAGCGTGGAGGAGAAATTAATTGAAAATTTGTATTTTGAACCCCCGACTGTTGCTTGAAACGTTTAAATAATTGAATGCATGAAACGGAACCAGATATTCTTCAAATTAATTAATCGATAACTTCGGGACATATTTTGTTGTTTTCGTGTGAGAATTTCCTTCAAAGCACTCTTTGTAAAATCGTATAATTTGGTATTTTGCATGTGTCGGGCAAGCTCGGCGCTATTTAAATGTGATATTTTCCCAAAATTTAACAACGGTTTGAAACTGAAGTATTTCCGGAAACACGTTTATAGGCGTTTTTGGTTGTTAATAAAATTATGTTCTCGTCGGAATAAAACGTGTAATAATCCGAATTGGCTTCAGGAATCCCGTCAGAACAGAGTGGAGAGCTGGCAGTCCTTCCAGGCGAACATGAAGAGCAAAGAGAAAAAGTCGAGCAAGAAGGTGAAATTGTTCAGGCCGCCCAAGAACAAGCCCGAGTCCAGATAGGACGCGGCGCCCAACGAATCGACCGTTGGCGAGTTTACTCGGAAGCAATCTTTTTCTTTGATCAGGAATTGAGTTTCTGTTCCTGCGTTCGAAGGACTACGTCGTATTTCGATGTTGGATGATTAGTGTACTTTTTATTTTGAATGTAAATTAACGTTATTTGACTTTTTCACTTTGCAGGAACAGGCTTAAGTTTTTGGACAGGGCATAATTTTGAATAGGGGTCATGTTTACGTGTTGACTATTTTTCACGCTGAAATTTATTGATCAAGACACATAAACACATCGTACTGTATTTTTTTTCGAAAAACTCAATTTTTGCAGAAACTATCAAATATTTTGCAATTTTCCGTAAAAAAATCTTTTTTTGTGTTGTGATATCACATCAGGCATATTATTTTTGTTTTAATTTTATGAAACGGCAAAAGTAATTGTTTTGAACCAAAAATTAGTTTTTTCGGTCCACAATGTTTACATTCAATCAAGTTTGTCGCTGCCCAGTGACGGTGTAGACAAGATTTTAGACGTACCTTAATTGTTTTGAATAGTTTTCTGGGGAACACCTACTATTATCTCTAAAAAAATTTACCCCTCCTTAGAGTTACACCCTGCATAGTGATGGAATAATAATAGTTCAAATCTAGTAACCAGATCCCTCCCGCGAAGTTAATTATTAGCGTACTTTTACATTTTCTGCGTCTCGGCCTAGGCATTTTTTTGGGAGACGGAAGACGCAAATGTAATTTTTTTAAATATATTGTTTGTTATGTCTCATAAGAAAATTGTACCAGTAATTAAGAATTTTGTAAATAGGCTCCGATCGCAACTTTTTATTTATTTAAGATTTTAACAATATCGTGTTTCTTTAATTAATTTTTTAGTCCATTTTTGGGAATATTTTGTACGGTGTAAGTTTTTGGAAAATTGCAGAGAAATGTGTTTTTTTTTTATTCAAGTTTTGGGGTTGTTAAAAAAAAATGACTTGTCCATATGCCAAAAACTTCCACTATTATTTTATTATTATTATTTTTTATATAATTACCATTAAATTATTTAAATAAATTATATATTTCTATATTTGTCAGGTGTTGCTAATATTAAATTCATACTCGAAAATACTCGTCACTTAATTTACCATAGCATACATTGTAATTGTATATTCAAAGGGGCGATACAGTACGGGCCTGGTGTCGCTAGCATGCTGGGTCGGTACGTTTTTGTGCAAGAACCTCGATTAAGGAAAAAAAAAAATCTCCAAGAACGGATTGGGTTACAGAAGGTTTAAGAATGCAGCCAAGTATACAAAGGTATTGCATTGTGTGTTGCCTACCTAACAAATATTTGTTATAGAAACTAGAAAATTTTAAGAATTATGCAGCCAAGAAAACACTGCCGTTGTATTGTGTGTTGCCTATCAAACAAAAATTTGAATTTGTGGTAAATTTTACAGTAGCAAAATATTATTGTTGTTAACGGTAGCTTTAAATTTTAAAACGTTGAAAAAGATTTTGCAACTAAAACTGAGATGTTTGAACTACTTTGTGGTAAATTTTACAGTCTAGCAAAATATTATTGTTGTTAACGGTAGCTTTAAATTTTAATATGTAGAAAAAGATTCTGCAACGAAAACTGAGACGTTTGAACTACTTTGTGGTATATTATACAGTCTAGCAAAATATTGTTGTTAACGGTGGCTTTAAATTTTAATATGTAGAAAGAGTTTTTACAACGAAAACTGAGACGTTTGAACTACTTTGTGGTATATTACACAGTCTAGCAAAATATTATTGTCGTTAACAGTGGCTTTAAATTTTAATATGTAGAAAAATATTTTGCAACTAAAACTGAGACGTTTGAACTACTTTGTGGTATTTTTTACAGTCTAGCAAAATATTATTGTTGTTAACGGAAGCTTTAAATTTTAATATGTAGAAAAAGATTTCGCAACGAAAACTGAGACGTTTGAACTACTTTGTGGTATATTTTACAGTCTAGCAAAATATTATTGTCCTTAACGGTGGCTTTAAATTTTAATATGTAGAAATAGAATTTGCAACTAAAACTGAGACGTTTGAACTACTCCATATTTTTAACACCTTACCCGTATTATGACACGTATAATAGTGGTTTGCATTTAAAACTGACACGTTTGAACTACTTAGCTACGTTTCAAACTTCGTAGTATCAAAGAATAAAACGCAAAGGTAAACGTAGAAAACATCTATTTAATATTATAAGAAAATATATCAGTTTGTTAGAAATCATTACCTATAAAGGTATACATTAAATAACTAGTAATAAAAATTTACTTACATATTAAAATGATTATACATTTTAACCCATGTACATTTCGGAAACATACTAACAATATTTTTAAAAAATTATCAATAACAGTACATATATATATGCGCATATCCTAGATATGTCGGCTGAGTATTCCGTTACGACGCTCGAGTATCCAGGCTGGATCGCAGCGACAGGCAGCCCTCCACCCAGAAGTTCGGCCTCTCCAACATGCTCTTCCACAGGCTGAGCTCCTTGCCCGAGGCGTCCATCCAGTCCACTGCCTTGCCGTAATGCTTGCCTGCGGAAAACAGATCGGTAAGCTCGAACGCTCCCAAATTTCCCAAGCGGGAATATTTACAACATATACAAGAATTCTCATAGAAATTTCTATTTTTTACGTCGCATTTATAGCGTAAACTAAAACTGAGATGTTTCAACTACACTGTGATACTTTTTACACCCTGGCAAAAAATTAATGTCGTTAACGGAAGCTTTGAATTTGGACGTGTAGAACAGAAGTATGCAACTAAAATTGAAACGTTTCAACTAAACTAAACGAACATTTGAAGATATGTTTGAACTACTCCATCATATCCTTAACGCCCTACTAAACTAAAACTGAGACGTTTGAACTACTTTGTGATAATCTTAACGCTCTACTCGTTACAACACGTAGAATAATAGACTGCAATTAAAACTGAGACGTTTGAACAACTTCACGATACTTTTTACACTCCAGCAAAATATTATTGTCGTTAATGGTAACTTTAAATTTTGACATGTAGACAGGAGTATGCATCTAAAACTGAGACGTTTGAACTACTCCATCACATTTTTAACACCATAGCAAAATTATAATCTCGTTGACGATGGCTTCAAATTATGACATTTATACTAGGAATATGAACCTAGAACTGAGACGTTTGAACTACTCCATCATATTTTTAACACCAACCCTATTTTATGATACGTAGTATAGTAGTCTGCAACTAAAACCGAAACGTTTGAACTATTCCATCATATTCTTAACGCTCTACTCCTATTTTATGATACGTAGTATAGTAGTCTGCAACTAAAACCGAAACGTTTGAACTATTCCATCATATTCTTAACGCTCTACTCATTACGACACATGGAATAGTACACCGCAACTAAAATTGAGACGTTTGAACTACTTTGTGGTATTTTTTACAGTCTAGCAAAATATTATTGTCATTAATGGTAGCTTTAAATTTTAATATGTAGAAAGAGTTTGCAACTAAAACTAAGACGTATGAACTACTCCATCATATTTTTAACAGCCTAGCAAATTTATACTCTCGCTAGCGGAGGCTTCAAATTTTGGCATTTATAGAAGAAATATGAACCTAAAACTCTACGTCTGAACTACTCCATCATATTCTTAATGCTCTACTCGTTATGACACCTAGAATGCAACTAAAATTAAAACATTTGAACTATTCCATCACATTTTTAACACCCTACCCGTTACGACACGTAGAATAGTAAACTGCAACTAAAACTGAGACGTGACGTTTGAACTACTTCGTGGTATTTTTTATGCTCCAGCAAAATATTTTTGTTGTTAACGGTAGCTTTAAATTTAGATGTGTAGAACAGAAATACGTAACTAAAATTGAGGACGTCTGAACTACTCCATATTCTTAATGCTCTACTCGCTATGACACATAGAATAATAGTCTGCAACTAAATTTGAAACGTTTGAACTATTCCATCACATTCTTAACACCCTACCCGTTATGACACGTAGAATAGTAATTGGCAACTAAAATTAAAACATCTGAACTACTTTGTGATACTTTTTAAGCCCTAGCAAAATATTATTGTCGTTAACAGAAGCTTTAAAGTTTGTCATGTAGACAGGAGTATGCAACTAAAACTGAGACGTTTGAACTACTCATCACATTTTTATCACCCTACCGATTACGAGACGCAGAATAACAGCCGGCATGTTTTATCAATTTGAGAATTTTCATTTAATTCATTTTCATTTTCCTCGGGAAGGAAAAATCATCCGCCAATTTAAATTTTTTTGTATACCGTAGTTTACCATTAAAATTACCCGTATTTTCATGTCGTTACGTCATAACACTTAATATTTATTGGAATACCGCATAATTACAGTTTTCGCAATTGAAGGGTACGCTATTGATACACGGTGAACGTAGACAAAATGCAGCGGCTGCAGAACAAACACACGTGAACCTTTCGAGTTTACAACCCAAGAAAAAAACATTTCTAATCAAAGTTTTCGGGGAATGTCAGACAGACGAAAATTATCCCGTCCCCACAATCGATATAGGAAAGACGGGGAGAACTCGCCGTCCCGCCCTTACCTGTACCTAGCGAAAACCGCACTCCCCCCAAGAATTCATTGCTCGCCAGCCTGTCGTGGTCCCACACCGTCAGCTCCAGACACCGCTCCGCCAGCTCCTGCAGGGTCACGTCGTCGTACACGAAGGTGTAGTTCCACACCGGGTTGATGGTTCTGCGAGCCACCGGAGTCTTCTGTTTGGAACTCCGGCCCTTGTCCGGCAGCAGGTAACTGAAAATTCAAAGAAAAGATCATTCTTCTACCAAAATCAATACATTAGGGCCTCGATACGGACCCTCGAAGGGTACTTTTCGTTTAATTACGACCGATACCCACCTTTTACAGAAGGGATCGGAGGTGCCGTTCGCCTTAACGGCCGTCAAGGCTTTGGCCTCCTTCACGAGGACGTGCAGCGCCCCCCTCGATCGCTTGCCCTTCTTGGGTACCGTCATGTCTGGCGGGACGAACTTCAGACACACTATGATGTCGCCCTTGTAGGATAGGACGTCCTCGAACGGCTCGGTCTGAAAAAGGGGTACTTTAGTGGACGATCTTTTTTTTCAGGAGTTTCGCCACGTTGCAAAGTTAAATAAAAAAGGATCCTAATAAAGTGGCTATTTTTTCATGTCGGTGATGCCAGAGCAATGAAGGTTCCCGAAAAGCACCTAGACTGGAACCTAGACAGTCTAACACGCGCCGAATCATTTTTTTGTGTTCTGGATACTGTTAGCGTTATTCCTCGCTCTGAACGAACACCAGGACCAACGAAGTTCGTATCCGAGTAATCTGAACCGTAAAAACTAAATTGAAGATATCCTACAGTTATCTAATTGCGATTCGTCACGATTTAGATACTGAGAGTGTTATTCCTCGTCTGCAACAACAAATTTCATTTGTCGAAGTTTCCAAAGCGTCCAATTTTGAAACGGCATCTCGTTGGAGGTTTTCCATCAATACTGTTTTCAAAACATAAACTAGTGGAAAATATTAAGGGATCAAAAAAAAAATATCTAAATTTTCGGCGATTTTTCAAATGATGGTATTGGAATAAAAAAAAAAGCAATTTGAAGCTTGAAGTTTCTAATTTTTGGATCTTGCAAAAAAAATTACGTATCGCGTAATCTTAATGAATATCATGAAAAAAAATTTTTCGACATTTTTTTCGATCTTATTTTTGGTGTACGGACTTGAAAAAAAAAATTCCAACTTAACCACCTTATGGATTAGATAGGTTGTTCATTTGGGTTCAATTTCTTTTTTTTTTGGTCTCGATACGACCATTTCTCGCTGAGCTATTGGACTTTGAATGAAAATGGATCATTTTCTCTTTGTTCATCGATATCTCAGAAACCAATGTTTGCACAGACAATCGACGGTGGGTTTCAGAAACTTGAATGAATTCTCTACAAGGTCCTGGCACGGCTTTGTAGAAAAAAAATTTTTATCCTTAACATGACTGAAATCGTAAAAAATAGGACTTTTAGTGGTCTTCTAGAAAATCACGTGCCACATTGAGAAAATTGGGAAAATGACTAATGTTAAGTGTGCCTTTTACAGGTCATTGTACCCCTAAAAGCCCTACAAAGTTTCAATTCGATCCATCAAGCCGTTTTTTTGTTTCATTCGGTTGAATTTTTTTAAAAATTAAAGGATCACGTTTTTTTGCTTTTAAATGCTCATAATCTGTAAAAAATGAAAAACATTTTTTTCTTGATTTTTTTTTACGTTCTTATTGTAGAAAGCGTTTGAAATTATGAAAAAAAAAAAAGATTTAGTCAAATTTTTTTTCTACTGAAAAAAAGGTGGCTTGAAAAAAACTGTTTGTTTTAATGTTATGTAAATTCGAAAAAAGCGTTTTATGAATTCAGAAGTATCGCAGCAATAATCTCTGAAAAGGGTGTAGATCGAGGTCAATATTCGGTTAGGGGTATCAACTTTTTTAAATTTAATTAAAATTCGGTCAGCATAATCACAAAATGAAGTAGGGGAATCGTGTCGAAAATGCTTGGGGATTACTGAGATAAATTTTCTGGAGTGAATCCAACGAAAAAATTTTTCAAAAAAA